TCGATATCGCAACTGTGATGCAACTTAGCATTGTCGAGTCATATCATTTAGTGTGATTTTAGTTACAACATGACAATATTAGGGTATGCAGTGGCAATGCCAAAGTCAGACTAGTCTTGTTTTCTTTCTTCCACAAATTTAGATGTTCGAAGTGAAAATATATTTATTGCCAATTGTAGGGTATGCCGTACGTGGTGAATCTTATGCTGGCCATCATGCCATGGCAAGTTATAGGGTTCAATGTAAAATGACTCGTTGTTTTCCTCTCGTCCCTGCGGCTCTAGAACCCTAGCCGCCGCCAGGGAGGCCGATCTTCCAACGTTGTTCTCTGGCGGCTCCCCTCCGGTGGTGAGGGGGGTCGTCGGATTCTGTGGATTGTTTTTTACTCCCTTGTAGTCTAGGATTTTAGGTTGTTCATTGTTTTTGCTTCGACGGCAATGATGACATCGCTGAATAAAGATTATCCGGATCCTTCCCTGAAGAGGCCGTCGATCCTATGGTTGGGGATGGATTTGGAAACCAATCTGTTGAAACAAGGATGGCGTGGCGGCGACGGCCTGGATCTAGAGTGTTAGGCCAGCCCGCCTAGTGGAGCACCAGAGTATAGACCAAAGGACCTCTCACAATATTAAGCAAGAAATAATGCGCACTAGTTTTTTTTAGTAAAGGCGTCGTTTATTAATTGCAAATGTTCAAAGGAATACAAATAATGCGCATTAATAAACGACGCCTTTACTAAAAAGGATATTTCCCTTTATTTTGCTGGTGATTGGTGTTGGCAAAGAAAGCCTGATTTAATGAGATAGGCAAAGAAGAGTCCAAAACTAGGGAAATATCATTTTGGTTTCTAGGTGTATATACACCTTATATAGAAAAAATAGTCAAAAAAGTTTGGAAGTTTTTTCACAATTAATTTGACTTTCTTTTGCACTTGTATATAAATTTATACGAATAGAAAATCAGCGTTGACTTCCGAAAAAACAAAATCTATTTGCTATTATAGGTCAGTATCACACTATTTTGACCGGAAATCTGTGTTTTTTGAAATGAAGTCAACGAGACTTTTTTTCTTTTTCAAAAATATTTTCAATTTTTTGTGACATCATACTTAGTTACTAATTTTTCCATATACGATGTATAACTTTTTTTAGGGTAATATATGATGTACTCCCTCCGTTCCTAAATATTTGTTTTTTTGGAGATTTCAAATGGACTACCACATATGAATGTTTTTCAGATTGTAGATTCACTCATTTTGTTTCGTATGTAGTCACTTGTTGAAATCTCTATAAAGATTAATATTTAGGAACGAAGGGGGTATAACAGTATATACATCCATAGACCAAAATTTCCTGTCCCCAAAACTGGGCTTTAGGAGGAGGATGTTTTGGACAATGGGCCTAATTGCCGAATGAACCCAAAATCCAACCTGAAACCCTAACGAAGGGCAATCTCTAGTCGTAACCGTATAGGCACTTGCCGCCACCCATCTGTTCACCGTCACGCCGCAGCCACCGCCACCGATCGCAATGGCGTCCCCGCATCCGCTGCCCGGCGACATGCTATTCCTCCCTCCCCAATCGCAGGCCGCGGCCGCCGCGTGCACGACGCTCTGTTGCCTGTGCGGCGTGCCGATGCCGCCCAACGCGGCCAACACCTGCGCGCCCTGCCTCCGTGCGCGCGTCGACGTCGCCGAGGGCGCGCCGCGCCACGCCGCCGTGGTGCACTGCCCGTGGTGCTCCTCGTACCTGGAGCCCCCGCGACGCTGGACGCGCGCCGCGCCGGAGTCGGCCGAGCTCTTGCAGCTCCTCCTTCGCCGCCTCCACCGGCCGATCCAGCGCCTCGGCGTCTCCCTCACCGCCGCCGAGTTCGTGTTCACAGAGCCGCACTCCAAACGCATCAGGCTCCGCCTCCGCCTCCGCCGCGAGGTCCTCCCCGGCCGCAGCGTCGCGCTGGAGCGGGACCACGCCGTCGAGTTCACCGTCCACGACCGCCTCTGCGACCCCTGCGCCCGGGCCCGCGCCGACCCCGACCAGGACCAGTGGTGCGCCGTCGTGCAGCTGCGGCAGCGCGCGTCGCACCGCCGCATGCTGCTCCACCTCGAGCAGCGCCTGGCCGCCCTCGGCGCGGCCGGCTCAGCGACCCGCGTCGACGTAACCGGCGTCGGCGGGATCGACTTCTTCTTCGCGTCCCGGTCCCACGCTGCCGGCCTTGTCGCCCTCATCGCCTCCCTCGCGCCGGCGCGCGTGGCGGACGCGGCGAGGCAGCTCGTGTCGCACGACACCAAGAGCAACACGTACCGCCACCGGCACGCATTCTCCGTGGAGCTCTGCCCGGTGTGCCGCGACGACCTCGTCTTCCTCCCGAGGGAGGCGTCGCGCGCGCTCGGCGGGCTCGGGCCGCTCGTGCTCTGTGTCAGGGTCACCGACACGCTGGCCCTCCTCGACGCCTCCACCCACCGCGTTGTCAGCCTCGGCATCAAGGACTACGACCGGCACAGGTTCGAGCCCGCGCTCACCAGCCGCCAGCTCGTGGAGTACGTCGTGCTGGACGTCGACCCCTCGCCGGTCACCAGCGACGCCACGGCCGCAAGTTTCGGGTACCGGACAGCGTACGTGCAGGTGGCCCGCGCATCGGAGTTGGGCAGGACCGACGCCATCGTCACCGTGAGGACGCACCTCGGGCACCTCCTGCGCCCCGGCGACCGTGCACTTGGCTACGACCTCCGCGGCGCCAACGCCAACGACCTGGATGGGCAGAGCCATTGCTTGCCGGACGCGGTGCTGGTCAAGAAGATCTACGAGAAGGGCAACGACGGCGAGAGGATTCAGCAGGACGGTGGAAGAAACGATGACCATGGTGATGTCAGCATTGATGAGATCGCCATGGGGATCGGAGGCATCGATCTGGAGCCCTGCGACGAGGTGGAGCTTGATGAATTGCTCGAGGACCTCAGAATCTGAGTTGTGAGTTGTGACCTTTTTGAATGATGACCGTTGGTCTTGGGAGCTTCAGATTAAGTGCATCTGATAAATTGAGGAAAAGCAATGATTCTTCAGATTAAGAACATTATCTGGGAGTAGTTTCTAATTAACTGCACTATATGCTTACGTTGTTATAGATTGAAACTTGAAAGTATTATTTGCAGCACTTTCCAAAGTATTTTATCTTAAACTGAACTGCTAATATTCTGCCACACATGTTTATTGTGATCATACCCCTTAGGGCTTCAGTGCCTTTGTCCACAACTGTATGCCCCATGGATTTCGTTGCCAAACACTCAAATGTTTCCCAAAGGCCTTGTTCTGTTCTGTTGTCCGGGAATTGGAGGGGATTGGGAAGGAATGAGGTGGATTAAATCCCGTCAAATCCTCTTCAATCCCTTTGAGAAGAGGTGTAACCGAACAAGGCCTAAATGATTCACATTCAGCTAATGTTTACTAGTAAAAATTAGTAGTAATGTACAGAGTTTTGGCACATCCAGTTGATTCCTAGCTTGTTTGTCAGATTTGCTATTTGTCAGTCACCTATCAACAAAATACTGTGCTCCAAAATTCTCTAAAATCTGATTTCATCATCTGTTGGATAAGAATTTCTTATTCTCGGGATCGTTGAAAATCTTAATTTTCTGCAGCTTTCAGAAAAAGAAACCAGAGCTTTATTATAATACTATCAAGAGACTAGAGAGGTTCTACAGGGCAGATAACATTCAGAAAGCCACATACACCAAGCTGTGCGGAGGCCCCAACGCTATGAAGCTAATTACATATCCAAATATTTGCTCGGCAACACATACCCACCTCATTTAGTTCACCAACAAGTATACTGTTGTAACAAGGTCGAATATTTAAGATGGTACTCCCTCCGTAAAGAAGTATAAGAGCGTTTAGATCACTAATACGGAGGGAGTATATGGTAACTACTGCAGCAAGAACCTTAGGCTTTTTCCGTGCTCTCGGGTATCTCCAGATGAATAGAACGACAACGATGTATCTCCAGATGAATAGAACGACAACGATGCTGAAGCACTTCGCGTTGCTGCGGAGAACTCTACTCCAGCTTTCAAGCATGACCCCCACTTCTTGTCCACAATTTTGTCAGGCTTGATTCCACTGGAATATCCTCAACTTTGTCATCAAGTTCCTTTGTGATCAGTCCATCGGACAGATCACAGAAGTGCCATTCTGAGAAGGATAAAAAGTTCACATGCAAGGTCTAACATCTTAGAATTCTAGAGTACGTTGAAACATTAAATTCTGAAATAAATTCATTTGTGTGGAACTAATTACCTAGTGTAGTTCTACTGAATTCGGCTTTTTTCTTACCTCGAGGATTTTGAAGTCGATGATGACTGAATCGTTCATTCCATTGAAAACAAAGGGAACCGATGATAGTTTTTCTTCTTCGCAACAGCAGTTTCGGATAAGTAGATGACAAGGGCCACGCAGCAGCGAGTCTAGTTGTACATCTGATCTTGACTGATTATTTGTGCTGTATTTCCACAAATGTGTTGAATGCATGTATTTATTCATATTTGTTTCTTCTGAAGAGATGGAGTATCTGCTTGCTCTGTTGGTGAAGGCATCTTTTTCATTAGCATTTTCAGCTCCTTCTCCTACTTTATTGATTCCATGTACTGAACCTTACCGCATCCATGATGTCCTTTTTTTTGTGAATACGCAAAAGCCTTGCGTATCATTGCATTGCTAGGTAGGGACAAGACAAGGATGATTTGATGGCCTGGGTGCTTTGTTTGACAGGCTAATTATGTTGCTCTTTTGATGTTTCTCCCTCTCCCTCCTTTTCCCTCCCTCTTTTCTTTACCTTCGCACCCTTGGTGCGCCTTCTCCTGGTTCTTGTATGGA